CTTGTAGTTGAAACAATGTGCTTGTTGGTTCCACATCCACAGGGCATTTGTAGTTTCACATGCTTTGAAGTGTAGAAAATGTATTGAGGGGGATGGAATGACATTATTTTATTTCTAAGGTCCATCTTGTGTCATGTAAACGTTGCTGGAAGGATTTGAACAAAAACAAGAAAAACTAATCATATTAAACCGCTCTTTAGGTGTCTGCACTGAAACAGACTTCCCCTGACTTTAATCCACTGTAACTGACTGAAACCACTTTTAATTATCCACCATGTACTTACACCCCAACATGCCTAATCACCATCAATCAACTTCTAATGAAAGGATAAGGCTGGTGATGTTCTTTTTATATTAATGCGAACAAATCCCTTGAAAATACCAAAACTAACAATGTGTTAGTCAATCTTTCAACATCTTCTCAGTTCCCATCCTTGTCTGAGGCCAATGTGGTTCTACTGTCAGCCAAACAGCAATTAGTAGGCCTACTGCAAGGACCCAGTGCAACAGTGTGGCTCATTTATGTGTTTTTAATAGTATCTGGACAATGATGGAGGTCAATTTCACAGAGGAATGAGCACACTTAAGGATTTGTTTACAATAAGAGAAATATTGAATATGACCAGACGTTTTCTTTAATGTTTTAATGCATTATGTAAAGGCACTTTGAACTGAACTGTTCATGAAATGTGCTACATAAATAAACATTCGTAATTACCTCGCCTTGTCTAATCATAATGCTATTGCAGTTATTTATGGGTCACTTCACAGGATTTACCCAGAATTTCACTTGCTGAGATGGCTAGGCGTTCCACTAATTCCTCATGACTTCCCACTGTTAAGCAGGGAGAAAATGTGTGGAATTTACTCTCTCTCTCTCTCTCTCTCTCTCCGATCCCAGGAAAGCAGAAAGTTTGTGGACTGTCAGCTCAATTACTTCATTGTTTATGCTAATTGGGCCAACGTCACGGTACTGTCTACACAGATTTTTTGAACATATCGTATCTTTCCAAGGTTTGTGTACACATGTGAGTTCACTGTTACTGATCTGTGTGTTTTCTCCCAGATCACACAGCAGGTGGGCCGCTGTGGGCCGGTGGCAGGCGCTGTGAACTCTGTTGAGATTGTCCTCTGCTCACAAATTGTGGAGTCTCTGGTGAGGATCAGAAACTATAAGCTCCACCTACAGATTCATTGATTAAAAAATAAAATAAAATACTCTGAACGCTGAGAAATGTCAAACTGTAATAAATCCCTTTCCTGTTGATCAGTTCTGCATATTACGGTATTCACCCATTCTCTCTCTTTAGAATGCGTTCTGGTTTAGTCTGGGCTGGTGCATCATCTTCTTCATCCCCAGCATCATATTTTCTATGAAACTAGCCAAGTACTACAGGAGAATGAAGTACTCTGATGTGTTTGAGTAAGTAGCACAACCGAAAAAGACTAACAAAGATGCATCTACTAGATCTATTTACTTCAAAACGCATGTTGTGCAAGATTCATTTGACTGTGCTGGCCTGCCTTTGACCACCTTTAATGTCTCTATTTCCAGTGACCACATAATCATGAACCACATCCCACGTGCCCAGATGAAATTCACCTGAGAAGACGGCATATCCGCAATACAGCTTTAAAAGACTCCAGGCTTCGGCATCGCTTGGCAAAATAAAAACAGGTGGTACACTCCTGCACAGACGTGGCACATTGTCACTCTGGTGGAAAGTCTCAGACTGACTAGTTAGGTTACCTACTTGTGTCTTTTTGATTCCAATTTTCTCCATAAGGTGGAGAAGCAAAGCCATTTATTAAGGGACTACAGTGGTGATACAATACATTACATACACCATACACAGCGTGTTAGAACTGACCTCAGGGGGGACACAAGACGTAAGGGAATCTGCAGGGAATTTTTCATCATTTTATATCAAATTTCAAAGGGATTTATTTCACTTACTGTATTACATAAATGATTTGTATGAGCTGCTGCTGGATTCTGACAATATATGTTCCATATTTCAAATTATAAAACAGATCTTTGTTGAGAGTTGATCGCATTTATATATAGTTGTGTTGATGCAGAGCTGTCAGAAAATGCAGCCGTGTGTTACTGTGCCAACCGCAGGGATTTGACAATCTTGTTCTAATGGTAAACCACTTTTTAATCACTTTTTTGATACTTGCACTTGTATTTGAAATTGTTGTAAAAGAACAATGTCCTGAAAGAATCATGAGATTAATACACTATTTTGTGTGACAGATGTTGTATGTTGCAAACTACACAATGAAAGTGTTTTGTTACAATTTTCAAATATGTTTTTGTAAATATTGATTTTGACTGATGTTATTCATGATTAATGATGATTTTGGTACTTTGTACTACTTTGTACTCAATAGTAGATTGCGTTTTATCTCTCTGTCACACAGCACTTTATATGGTCTGTTTGCTCAATGTGCTCAAAACATTTCTGCCTGTTGTTGGAAACTACTGTATGTAAAAACTGTTACTGATCAACAACTGCACTGAGTCTGCTGTGCATTTTTTGACCTTTTAACTGTAACATGACAGGAATCTCACCGATCAGTCACTGTCTATTCTCCACACTGAAAGTGCTTTTCATAGTTAGTGTGTCCCAGTATGTCCTCGTACATGAACATTCATCACACTGCAACAGTTTGTTGAAGTTGAACAAACACTGCAATAACAAATACAGTTTTCAGTTTCACGTTAACAACTGACATTAATATTCAGATTAGTGATCAGCACACCACTGGCTACATAAACTGCATATTTACCCAGATAACATTTATACACTGCTTATGTAACATGCTAATTTACTACAGTAGAAATAGATGGTGTGTCTTTGTGATCATGATTACTGTCACACATCTCTGTTATCTCAACAGTCCATGAACACATCGCTAGGTTCCCCAATCATGTGACATGAAAAGAAAATTGTGTGAGCTGGCTAAAAAATTAAGATCTAAAGACTGACCCTTTATTTGAGGAATTCACAGTAATATGAACCTCATTTCCCTTTGTTGATTATGTACATGCAAAACAGACGTTTTCTACAGCACAGAACGTTTTATAGCACCTGGGCTGAGGTTTTAAGAACCCCACAGTGTCCTAGTGACTGCACTGAGGTAAAAAAAAAAAAAAAAAAAGCAACAACATAAATGCTGTTCATCTTAAATGGCCCATTCATTGTTGAAAATCTGTCTCCAATTGGTTTAGAACAGGACTGCCCAGAGGCAGATAATCTTGATTTGGCCTTAAAGTGAAAAATAACATAAATCCCTGTTCATGCTGTTTTATTTCTTGTGAATACTCTTTAAATATGTAGGATGCCTAATAATTAATTATTTTTGTAATCTGAGCACAGGAATGAACTTAAGATCCCAGTACCATTTTGCATCTTAATAATACAATACAATACATACAATACATTCAACCCTTCAGTTTAAAAAAGAAATCACAGCCTTTGGGGGAAAGCACAAATTTGGTATGAGGCTGACGATCCATAGGCTTATTTATAGTCCAATCATAGGAAGCACAACAAGAGCAGCAGTATTTTCATTAAATCTATAAACTCCATTAAGTATAAGGTATAAAAAGTATCACCATCCTCTAAAGAATATTGAGTTGTGAAATATAAAATAAATTTAGTCTATTAATATAGATGATGAAAATGTCCTTTAATGTGGCTATCTTTCTCCTGATGTATTCTTTCGTACAGCTCTTTAGGCTATAGTCAGCTGTTCAGAGACAAGCAGAGGACAGAGGAACGGGCAGGGCCGGCCAGCCTCTGTTTGGATTCATTATTGTTTACAGGATGCCATCTATAATTAGAACAAGTGAATCGATGGCGTTACAGCACCAGCATGACTCAAAATGTTGTAACACGAGAGGCTCTATGCAGAGGAACTCAATCTGAAGCAGAAAAAAAAAGTGTGGCACAAAGTGAAAGAGAAAGAAAGAGGGAGGAGGGATGAGAAATAGAGAGACTGACTGAGACATGTCAGGGATCAGGTTATGACTGTTTCTGCAGCTCTGCCATTTTGTTACCCTTTGGGAAGACTCAGTCTCTTATTACCCTCTGCCTTTTTCACTCAAGATACATGGCTCACTGCCCTCCACTTTCCACCTCTACACTTACTCCACCCCTTTGATCATACCCTCATATCCCCCTGCGAAACCTGCCTATTTGCTACGAGAACCGGCAGTGACGTGCACGCGCTGAATGTCTGACCTGTGTTTTTGGCGTTATCAGAAAGGCCTCTTTTCCACCGAGCAAGAGGCAGCCTCTGATTCAGAAGCTTAATGGGTAACGACTGAACATTCCTCTTATGGGCCCTGACCATGGAAACATTTGAGTGCATTTACACACTCAAACCCTTGAACTAGACTCTCTCTCTCTCTCTCTCTCACACACACACACACACACACACACCAGACTGCAGCTGTAAGTGGATTTGTCCATGGAAGGGATATGGTGAAACTGTGGACAGTGGATCATATGAATGAACTGTGTGTACCTCAAATGTTGGCATAAATAAGCTGTTATATCAGTACTGTTTTAATTGTTTAACTGTAAATAACTGAATAAATAAACCATATAGAGCATATTGACCTTGACATTTCCGTTGCTTCAGATTCAATACTGTGTGGTCTGTTGGCTTGACTTGTTGTTGTGCACTACAGTGAATGGAAATTGCTGATCAAGCGGAACAAACCAGAACTACAGCTATTTGTGGGAACAAGGACTGGCAGGTAAGTGACAATGACACATTTGGAAGTACCATTAAAAACAATAAACAACACAATATAATGCAATTTAAAACACCACAACCCCCCCATAGTGCACTCAGACCCTCAGTTTCTACTACACTGAACATTACAAGCTTTGCATTTGTTGAAGGGCATTAATAATGTATTGCATTGCACTGTATAAATGCAGAATCAGACACTTAACATGTAAAACTCGGGACAGCAAACAGAGGTTTTATCTCCAGTTTAATAGCATACAGCATCTGTTAATAAATACTTGTATACATTTTCTTTTTTTCAAATACCGCTGAAAGGAGAGCATCACCAAAAGTAACCAAGGCAATGGTGTGAAACTTTGTCGAGCAAATCCAGGAGGAGATCCTATTCATTAACAGGAAACCTAAAGCAGAGTTTAGGGCAAATTAATATTTAATGTCTTAACAGTCATAACATCAGGCTGAGTCGTCTGTCTAGGGAAGTCAGGGAGTTTCCAGTGACTCTCAGATGGACTCAAACATGTCTGGCAGACAGCAACACTTTTGGCACCGAGCTGAAATCGTTTGCACAGACTTTGTCATGCTTATTTAAGTGTACAGAGCTTGGAATGACACAACTAATGCATGCATCGGATCAGAGCGAGAAATCAGCCGGGTTTCATATTGAAATTAAAAACAGTCTTTGACTGTTGAGGACAAGATCAGTTACCAAAACCCCCCAAAATACTGTACTCAATACAATACAGGAAACAGATCCTCTGATCTACCTCCAGTTCTTTCTCCTGAACAAGAGTAAAGCTGCAGGAATGTGACACTACCCTGTAAATGAACAGCAGCACTGTGAAAGGCAGTGTGATTGTTCTGCAGCATTTTGGAGTCTGATTGTCACTCAACACAGGGTTGTCTGTACCGCACCCATGCAGCGCCACAGGTTTTAGTAAAGACTCCCAAAGATAGTTACGATTTGTTTGGAGGGCTCAACATTTACATACAAAAACACTTTCTTTGACTATAACAAACTATAAAGACTCCTCCAACAGAAAAGCATTAAAGGCATCAAAGATAATAGGCACTTAAATATATTTTTGTTTACAGCACTTAATCAAAAAAAAAAAAAAAAAAAAAAAAAAACAATCTCAAGAGATGCATCAAAAGCAAATACTGACTGGGGTGATAAATAAAAGCATGGAGAAAGCTAACAGGGGCAAGAAGACAGAGGACCTAACATCTTTAATAACATTACCCTCACTGGGTCCATGAAGGAAGACGTACATGACCTTATGCAAGCAGCAGGGAGCCTATGTTAGTCACAACGCGCCCAACCCACACACGGATCCTAACAGAATTACCTCCAAAATTGAATTTAAAGTCGAACTGTGAGTCACTTTTACTGGGTATTCGGTCTGGAATGCCCTGTGAGTTGAGCTGCGAGGGAGCAAGATTGGACAAGATGGAGTCTAGAGGGATAAATGGATGACAGTGTTTTGGGTTGCGCCCATCAAAACCAGGTTAATGTTTAAGCACGTATAATATGTTGAGTAAAAAACAAGAAGTCAGTAAAGGAACCTTGGACCTCTACCTCTCTTACCCTCCTCCTCCTCTAAACCCTACCACACTTAAAACAAACATTCAAACACAAAGGCCAGTTTGTCTGGATAACACTCAGTAGATTACCCACTGCATGAACACACTTTGACATCGACAAGTTAAAGGCAGCTATACTTGACTACAATTAGCAGATTTTTTTTACTTTAAAGAGGCAAAGTATATTCTAAACATGGATATGATAAACCCCCAAAATGGGAGTTAGTGGCTTTGTTTTTGACTGAGCAGATAACCATTATATTGTGTTAACTCAATATATTATCATTTATTGATGGTATTCTGAAGGCTAAGCTTATTCAATGCAAGTTTATGCAATAACATTCTCATCTGCGTGCAGTTAAGGCTTAAGAGATAAATAACAATGCAGAAACAGTATATACACATTAAGACTTAAAATTACCTGCAGTATTTACACTGGTAAGATCTTCAGTAGTCATTTCATAGTTTCTAGTTGTCATACTTCATCTGACATTACCAATAGTTTTAAAAAGAGCATCAAATATAACTGCAATACACTGATTGTCAACACACACTGTTTCACAGTTAAGTCAGATTATGTGTGGAATGTTTTAAGAGACCGGTTTTGCTCTCCATTTTGAATGTTTGTTCATTTTTATGTAAATCACACTGGGTTAGCGGGTAGTGCCACCCTCGCCCTTGGGACAGTTGTGTGTGTGGACGACTGCTGCTCAGGTGTTTCTGCAAGTACACCCGGTGCGGTGGTACCGCCCAGAGCTGAGTCTGTGCTGGGATCAGTGACAGCCCTAGGCTGCTCTGCGGGCTGGCGACGAGGTGCAGGAGGGGGGAACGATGGCGACTGGAGGATGTCAGCGTAGCGCTGGCTAGGCTTGGTCTCCCTCTGAAGGACTTTTCTCAGCAGGGGTTTCAACAGCCCGATGGTCAACTGGCTGCTCTGTGAGTCCGCAAAGGGAGCCGGGGATGAGGATGCTGTGCTGGACGTGGAGAAGAAAGAGGAGGAGGAGGAGGAGGGAGGGGGGGTGTTAGGAGAGGGGAGGTTTTTCAGCACCAAGTTGAGAATAGTGGTGACAGTGAGGTCTTCAGGGCACAGCACCCACAGCAGGTCCAGGTAGGGGTCCAGGTCTCTGTGCTGGGCCACCTCGCACAGCAGAGTAGTGAAAATCTCCTTGTTGAGCAGCGGACTCTGTTTGCAGAACTTCTGGGCGACCTGCGTCACCCGCTCCCACTGCTGCTTGGCCATGAGGATCCTCAGTGCCTGGAGGATGGCGTTGGGCCGCCCACTGACCAGCAGCAACTCCACCTCCAAGTCCTGATGCTGGTCTCTGTCTAAGCTCAGGCTGGACAAGACGCACAGGGCTCGTTTGTAAAGCGGGACGTTGTTCTCCCCGCCCTCTCCTCCTCGCCCACCGGAGAAGCCCCAGGAGGAAGAGGCCAGGCTTAGGCCCAGGCCGGCTGAGCCCTGCTGCTGCTGGGCGAGCTCCAGGAATCTGGGCAACCAGCTGGGCTGGAAGTGGAAAACTGAGTGGCAGAGGAGCTCAAACACGGGTAGGGCAGCTGGGGGAGCAGAGCTTGTAGGTTTGGCTTTACAGTTGGCAATGTGATCACCTTTGAGGCTATGATTGTGCTTTGACCTGCCGTTGGTGAATGGGAGGGAGGGTGGGGTGCTGGCTGTCACAGCAGGACTGAGGACAGTTTTCCATATGTCTGCTGGAGCCCTGCTGGAGAGAGAGCCCTCCCCATTGTAGTGTAGCTGAAGGGCAGCCTGCGCCGCCCTCCATGCCTGGCGGGGGAAGATGTTGAAGATGGAGTTAAGGTAAAGCAGAGCTTCTTTAACCAGCTCTGAGGATGACAGCAGTCTAGTTACCTCTTTCTCAACCAGACTCTCACACACTGCCTCCACCTCTTTCACACTTCCCCTCACTAAACTGCCCTTCACCTCCTCCAGAGAAACCAGAGCCTTTAGCTCAGCCTCCAGAGAGCCCATTAGCTTATCTTGTCCTGCTGTACATCCAACTCCTCCGTTCTGGGACAGCTCTGCTCCTTTCTGCCTCGACCCCGCACTGAGGTAGTTCCTGAGGATGGAGGCTAAAGAGATGGGAGCCTGGAACCTACCTCCTTTCTTCAGCGTGTCCACAGTGAGCTGGGTGCTGCTCAGGCTCCTCTGCTGGTAGTATTTACAGGCTTCCTCGAAGACAGCCTCTACCAGGAGGGCTCCTGGGTGAAGATTCTCCACTGTACTGAAACCAGGAGGCTTCATCTTAGAGTCGCAATCTCTGGAGTCTGTCTCCTTGTTCACTAAAACGAAAAGTCCGGTTTCTGTGAGCAGGTGAGGAGTGCAACTTTCAGCCCGGTTCACATATAACAACCCCTCTCTCTTCAGCGTGGCGTGTTCCAGCTCTCTGCCACAGTTCACGTCGATCAGATGCAGGTTTTGTCCTATCAGCAGTGCCAGGGTGTCCTCGTACATGCAGAGGCTAGTGTGAGTGCTGAATTTCGTCAAGCAGTTGTCGGCCAGTTTATACACCTGCCGCAGCATCCCATCTTTCTGCAGGAGACACACCCAGCCTGTGCTGAGCAGCAACAGCAGGCCTCCACAGGATGTAGGAGAGAAGTTGTAGATCTCAGGTGGTTCAAGAGTTGATAGATATCCCAAACAGTCTGTGACCAACCTCTTAAAGTCAGACTCTTTAGCCGAAAGCCTTTTTAGGGGAGTGTTCATACACGTGGTGCTGACTGTGAAGGAGTCATGGCGCGGGGACCAGGAGAGAAAAAAACTGGAGATCAACAGTGGCTTCACTTTCAAGTCAGGGAGAAGATGTACATATTCACCTGAGCTCACCACAGTGAACTTGGGGTTGTTGTGGAGGGCGATTTTCACTCCACCCAAGCTGACGGCCCCCTCCTCCACCTCGAAGTCACGCCTGCACACACAGTATCTCAGCTTATTCCTTGTGGAGCTGAGGGCTGGAGAGCTTTCTGAGGGTGGCCTCTCCTCACACCAGATGATAAGGTTGGAACAGGCACAGACAGACACCACTCTTGCTCGGGGGCTGTTACACAAGTCTGATGTTTGTACGAGATGCCAGCCAGATTTGCACTCGTGGAATTTCCAAAACTCAGCTTTTCCATCCTCATAAACCACCGCCACAGCTGCTGCGTCTCTGCTGCTGCTGCTGTTGTTATTGTTATGGTCCAAATACAAAATATCCACAACAGGCACGGTCCGTGTCGGCCACAGATCCAGCTTCTTCTGGTTCTGGGCCAGCTGGGGTCTTTCATACTTGTCAAAAGTCACAAGACCGACCTTAGGCTTGCGGAGGATAACATGGATGTGACGTCCATCTGGGCTCAGGCGGACGTTTGACAGGCAGTCTTTGAGCTCGTTGTTGGTCAGTTTAAAGAGCTCAACCAGGTCTTTACCGCCAGTATAGTCCCCGAAATCTGACAGTTGCTCCAACACCAACCGCGCCATAACTCTCCGTTTTCCAGACTGACTGGAGCTTAATCAACTTGCCACAACGTATGAACTAGCCCGCTAGCGTGTTGTGGCACATAAATCTGATCCGGAGAGGCTAACCGGACGGCATCCCGTTAGGTTCCTACGACAGGCTCTCATCTCCGTTGTTAACGTCCGTGCGGAGGGATACATCATCCGACAGTCTTCGAGCCCGCTAACCCCATGTCGGCACACGACAACGGAGCTAAACTGTTGGCTGACAGTTAACTGTTGAAAAAGCTTTTAAGTCCAAATCGAGAGAGGCACTGTAGTCATTCCGATGCTAGGCTAGCACTCCCCTGACATCACGGGATTGTTAATTTCCGGTACCGACGGTGTTTTAGCATAAGAGGCGGAGCGACACGAAGGCTGACCAAAGATTGTGTGAGGGGCGGAGAGAGAAGCAACTGTCGCCGCGCGTTGGTCGTCAGTCAGCTGGTACGTTAACAACCAGTGTTGAACATCTCGACATCTTTTGTGTTGAAAATTAAAAATGAACTAAAAAAAATAATATATATATATATATCATTCAGTCTAAAATATGACTTTATAAAACTTCTTTACACCCTTTTAAAACCTACTATTTCATGTCAAAATGTCTGCTCTCAAAAACCTGCCTGAGCTGATAAAATGAGTAATATAATTCTAACCGACTCACATTGTTTGTTATCTGATGATAAAACTAATACTAGGAACTGAATCCACTGTTGTGTATACAGTATGCTATCACTAGCAATGTTGACACAGCAAAAGATAGTTTTTCTTCTTAGGTTTAGCTCGTTAAGAGTTAGTTCTCTTTTATACATTAGCATCCTTTTAAAAAACATATATATATACATTTATTGTTATTGTTGCCATCTACAGTTCTGGAAACTTCTTGTCCCATCCTAAAATTGCACACCGCTTATACACCAGTAATCTCTTTATGCTTTAAAAACACGTTTAATGGCAAAAAGGAGTCTAGGGCAGGCCTATCTGATGTGGTCATCACTCATGAATTGGATTTTCAGTCAGTTCATTATGTGGTGTGATTTAATTTGGATTTGTAAATAATTTGGTGTTTGCTTTAAGTAGTCAGTGATTTGTCGATACAAATATAGCATGTATAGCATTCAAGTCTATCAAGATAGTGAACTGTTTTCCAATCAAGGAATTAACTTCGACCTCTGACCTTTCAGCAGACAAACAATAAGAGCATGTCACTTTGGGGATGAATGAAATTGCCCATTTTGTTTAATTAAACCTCAAGTTGTTGGATAATTCAAATAAAACTGTACAAAGAATGCAAAGATGTGCAACAATGCTGGTGCTATTTGGCTGAAAACAGCTCGAAAGTTGCAGTAGGTGAGTTGAAAACAACATCTAGACAAGCACAAATGAGGAACTGTGCTAATTTCCTTCTCTGCTTTGACAGCATACTTTAAGGGATGTTTTTTTTAAAAAGCTAACTCATACAGTGTAACTATGGAAACCAGCTTTACCTCCACAGATCTGGAGGCAAGAAACAACAACTTAGAAAGTGAGAAACCTTTCCAGTACATCCTCGTTTGTTTTGGCAAGAGGCTGTGAAAAGAGTGGCTGGTCAGCTGGGTTAATACCAACCTGAGATACTGACTCACTTAAATCAGCTTCAGGAATAAGAGACATTCTGCTTCATACCACAGATGTGATTGCAGGAGGATTTGACAAGCGATGTTGGTGACGCTTAGATGATTTCTGTAAAGGACAGCCTGGTAGGCGCGCCAACTAACATAGCATGCAGAGGTAAAAACACTCTTTTCTTTTTGAAGGAAAATAACATTTATTACAATGGGAGGGAAATGCTCAGCGGCGATGACTCACAGTGTAAGTGGATGTCTGCCCACTGTGAATGCCCTGTTTAGTACTTTAACAAACTTTCAAGGCAACTTTCAAGTTAGGAACTTTCACGTCAGCCCACACTGTGAAGCTGTGCTGGTAAATGACACTGTACTGACATTTAGATCCTTAGATACAGACGAAGGAATCTGCCATTTGGCTGGCAGAAGTGCGCACCAGTTAGGAATGTGTGGTAGATATTGGATTCGATAAATTATATTTACTCTTGGCAGCATGTAGAGGCTAACTCAAACAAGTATGAGAAGGTGCCAATTACATTTCCTTTCCTTTATAGAGAGTACAGCTTGCACTTAATGTTGTGTGTTGTGACTTGCTTGTCCTTGGTTTGTCTACATCTTCTTACCAGCACAGGTTCTCAGAGAAAACTCGCTTTCTTGTCATTTTAGAAATCATAATGTTAACAGAGATCTCTTTTGTTTGTCTGTTACATATACACCCACCACTGAATGAGGACGCCAGTGATAAAGTTAAGGATGAGTTTGCTCGTCTTTAATGATATTAAATAAATTAGCAGACGAGCTTGTGATACCAATAATGTAATTAAATCATGGAGAAGGTTCCGCTGTCTTACTGCCTCATACTCGGCACAAGCCTTTTGTTGACACATCTTGGTTGCATTTTAACAATGTAAAAGGGAAACTGTACACCTTATTCAATATTCTCTGCTAAATATAGATCACTGGATCAGTGAAACAAGTACTTGGAAGTTTTTTGTAAGTTCGCTTCTTATCCAGGAGGAGGCAGTATTGATCTTCACTCACTGCATGTGGGTGATTTTAAAAACTCAATGTACAAATAAAAAAAATAATTAAAATATCCATGAAGTGCTCACTAGAGTAGATGGCCACAGATTGAAGTTTTTCATTGTTTCTTCTTTTCCCTGTTAAGCTGAGTACAATAATGCTTTGAATCATACTCTAAACGCAACAGACAACACTCACTGTTGTTTTTCAATGAATATCACATGGATATACACACCCAGCATCACAAGGCTGCTGCCTTCTCTCACCCACAGTTAGCTTAACTTTTCCATTAAATCTTATGACTTTCATTGTTTCTGTTTTACCTCACTGCTTCTGGACAGTTCAAGCTGCCCAGTAAAAGCTGCAGTGTTGTGTTGGCGGCTGTGGGTGTCCCCTGAGAGCTGCCTTGAGTTGTTTGTGAGGGATTTTTAATTTACTTTTCCACCTTCATTTCCCGGTTTAAGTATTCAAACTAATTATTTTGTGGTGATTAAAGCATGGTTTAGCCATTTTTTCCTTCAAATCCACACGTTCTTTATCTACTCTTCTTTCGAAATTTGTTAGTTCTTTTTCAACTTTCTCTGACCTAACTGGCTGAACAATGAATGAGTTTCCAAGGTGTTTGCTCATTCAAAGCTGCATGGCACTTTTCTTGTTTATAGCTCTCATTTATTTATTTATCTAGGCTGTCTGTATTATTGTGCCAGAACACACTTTAAGGGAGGCAGCCTACCACTTCATGTGTGTCCATGTATTTATGTCCTATTATGTCTCTGTGTCATTGCTGATAAAGTATATGGAGGCAGTATGTTATTCAAACAGTAGACTCAAGCCCTGCTGCCTCCAGACAGGCTTGCCTTGGACAGAAAACACCCTCTATTAGAGAGTGTGTTTAGTCTGCTGTGCCTGTAGACAGGAAGATAAAGTGCTTGTCTGGAGACTAGAGGGGGTTGGAGGCAAGGGAGATTTCCTTTTTGAGTTATATGGTGTTGAAAAGAAAACCAATGGCTGCAGGATTTTGCTACTCAGGGTAAAGAAGATGGGTAGGCTGTCAGCTTTGCATTCCCTCATGAGAGAATTATTTTAATTTGAGCACAATTTAGGAAAAAGAAATGTCTCTATGTGCATGTGTGAGGAAACAAAGATATTTTCAGTCTGTTTGGGGTTTGAGTGAGATGCTACTTCTCTGTATCTGTGTGTCAAATGAAAGTTACAGCTGCCTGTCAGCCTCCTGTCTCCTGTGAGAACAGGAAGATATTACTGTCAGTTTGCTCGCTGTTGTAAAGCTGTCATGTGTGCAGCCTCTCTCTGACCATATCTCCCTTTCCTTCTGTAAGTCACTTCACTGGAGCATTTTGTCTTTGGCTTCAAGGGTCTTTCTTTGACTCTGTGCTGACATACAGTATAGCATTGTGTGATCCATCCAAGTCATCCATCTTTTTTTTTTCTTCTCACACACATCTTTTATTGTCCTATCAACAATAATAAAAACATCAGAACTGAAGTGGAGGAAGGATGGAGATTAATAAGAACTGTTTTCAATATTACTGAAAACTGTCTTTCATTTGAATCATATTCTATTAAAACTGTTTTTATATTCTGTTTTAATCTCCTTGAGTGGCATTGTTTTAAAACTAGACACAGGAAATTGCCAGGTTTTTTAGTATTGCTGTGCAAGACAGAAAACAGAGATGACTATTTGCCAAGAAACTCCAATGAAATAAAGCAAACATTCTTGAAAATTTAATAACCACACTGCTCCTCAGAAATCTATAAGAGAATTGTTTATCATCTGCATTTCTTAATGGCTGAGGGTACTCCAGTGGGTTGAAAGCTACATTCATTCATCTGCAGAGCTTCATTTCCGACACTGATGGAGTCCTTTAAGCAGTAAATAATTTTCAGCTAGATTATATCCTAACATCCAAGTGCATATATCTCAGCAGCGTCTCTACAACATTGACTGCGTACGAGCACAAGGAGTGGCAATTCATGATAGACTGTCGGTCCCGGAGTACAGAGGAGAGATGATGCAAAGAGAGGAGGAGGATGTTTAGCGGTTCATTAGGAAGACAAACAGACTTGTAGATAAATGAGCTATGACTGCCTTTCAGCTGAGATGACTGAACAATAACAAGCTGGATGAGACAGCCATTTTGGAACTGTTATCAGCCATTAATTTGGCGTAATGAAGAAAGTTGGTGTTTGACAGACAGAAAAAAGCTGTAATGAGAATATCCCAGAATGAGTGGAATCCTTGAAATGAAACTTCGTCAAATGAACCACAATGAGAGGTCACAGCAGTGCTGAAATGTCACTCATAACAGATACCTCGCCTCATGAGCTGATTAGATAACAGGCCATTTGCAATTGGCTGTCCCTCCGCATTTAGCACTAGGCTCTTATCTCAATGATCCATACCCCGACTCTTAGCATAAATAGCATTAACTCTCACATCACACTATTAATCGGATTCATGGCCCTTGGCTCATTGTGGGATGTGCTGATGTTTTTCAGAGCCCTTTTTTACCTCTTTCTGCTTGTCTCCTATCTCTGCATCCCTTATTCTGTCCTGTCCTCATAAAAAAGGCACACGAGAAGACACACGCTTGACTATTGAAGTGTAGTACCATTTGTGACCACACATTGGCAGCATGTGCATTTTCTTTGACGGTACTGTAGCAGAGGTTGGTCATGTGAGGATAAAACAAGGTCGTGCCATCA